TAAATTAAAGTTGAATTAAACGCGATAAAATCCGTAAATAATAGTTTTATTCAATGTGTAGTGTTCGCGTAAATTTAAGAAATCATTTGTTGACTTTGTTTGTAGAATGAGGATGACAAACGAGCACATAGTCCACATGATAGTAAGTGGATGCTGTGGCCCATAAACATCATCTACATTTATCCTTAAATACAAATCAAAATACTGATACGTTGTCACTCCTTAGGACTAAGAAAGAATGCCTCGCTTCCAGTAAAAAGGGTCCACGGTTCTCCACACGAAACTAAGTAATATTAAGCTGCAAGCTTACGCTGGTATTTTGTGAAAGCGTGGTCCTTCCCCGGTTGAGTTGACCCATTTGTGCTACAACCATAATATCTCTAATAGGCTCTAACACTTATAAAACAGCTGATGGTCAAATTCTCGCTGGATTTAAAACTTTAAATAAAATATCCATCGGTCGCGCTAATATCGTGGAATTGTAAAGCGAATCTCATTATAAAGCCTAATGTGTCAATCTATGGGGGAGGTCTATGTTCAAGTTCAACTGTGTAGTTTTGATAGGCTGTAATGAATGAATGAACGAAGAATGAAAATATCCGTCGGTCGCACTAATATCGCGGAATTATAAAGCGAATCTCGTTATAAAGCCTAATGTGTCAATTTATGGGCGAGGTCTATGTTCAAGTTCAACTGTGTAGTTTTGATAGGCTGTAATGAATGAATGAACGAAGAATGAAAATATCCGTCGGTCGCACTAATATCGCGGAATTATAAAGCGAATCTCGTTATAAAGCCTAATGTGTCAATATATGGGGGAGGTCTTTGTTCAAGTTCAACTGTGTAGTTTTGATAGGCTGTAATAAATGAATGATCCAAGAATGAAAATATCCATCGGTCGCGCTATTATCGTGGAATTGTAAAGCGAATCTCATTATAAAGCCTTATTCTCAGCTTTGTATGCAGTTATGTACCTATTAAAATTTAGACTATCATCTAATTGCAATCTTAAATTCTTTAATGCATTCGTTCTTTAAAACGGAGAATTTTCTATTATATCTAAATCTCAACGGCTCTGACGTACCTAAATAATGATAAAGTGATTATTGTGGATTTTCAAAGAAAAAATAAATAAATAGAATCAGGCATTAGTTCCGGCTTTCAAAATCCGTTATGTTTAAGACGTTAGAAAGATAACATGCTAAGGTCGTAATGTTGATAAATGTAGTAATGTTGGAAGTCATGGTGTTGGGATAGTGCACGCAATTAAGGGAAGGCGGGAAGTGCGCTTCCAACTAGGTAAGACACATTATTTTTATTTTTTACGCGGATGATACTAATTAATGTCCATTATTCTATACCTCTACAACATGCTGCTGTAACAACAAGCAGTTATTTGCTGTTTTTAAAGGCCATGAGGTCATCAGCAAACATCAAAGATTTGGCGATTTTAAGGTCTAAAACTAGTCACAGACTACTTAGTTACGATAATATTTTATCTGCCTATAAAAACTTAATTATCTGAAAGTATCAGACACTAGGCGGATACGATAATATAGCTTATCGGAATAGGATTCAGATTTTGATTTTAATGCACGTGTAGCATTTACAAAAAGGCGAAGAATTTCGATCGTATTTTTCAGCGACCATCCTGTATTTATCTGCAGGTCAAATACTATGCCATAATTGTATCTGCGGAAGTTATCTGCAGATATTATGGCATAGTATGAATGAACATCACAGCGATGCAGATCAAACGATATAGTAACTATTATAATAATGTATTTATTATTTATAAAACTGAAACTATAAATTTATTTTATGAAATTTCTTTGAATCATTTTTATAACAATTTGTTTTTGCGAAACTAAAAATTTAATTATAGGATTTTCATAGTGTTGAATTTTTTGATATTATACTTATTTATTTTTTACGTGGTAGAGCCACGCTGCAGCTATATCATAATTGTAATACGAATGGGTCGGCTCAACCGGGGAAGGACCACGCCTACCCAGAATACCGGCGTAAAATAGCAGCGTAATGCTGCCGTGTTTCGTATGTTGAGTGTAGAGAACGGAAACCCTTTTACTGGATTCGAGGTATTCCATCTTAGTCCTCAGGGGTGACAACGCATTTGCATTTTGATTCTAATTGAAGATAAATGTGGATGTCTATGAGTCACAGCATCCACTTATCAGGTGGACTGTGTGCTCGTTTGTCACCCAATGCTATTAAAATAATATTGTATATGCTCTACTACTAACACTTGTTTTAAAAAGTAAGCCTTTTTTTAATTAACCATTAATTAAATTTAAAGTATTCTTTCGTTACAATTTTTTATTCAATTTTACTCAATACACCACTCTGGGTTAGCATAATTTGTGCGGCTTAGTCTAGGGTTACAAATGCTCTTTGGCAGGGGAACAGCACGCTAACTTTACCTTTTTAAATGGTTTTACGGCCGACTTAATGGTATTTATATAAGAAATGACTCATTATTTCAATTTAAGACGTAGTCATATTCGATTAAAATATATAGCAAGATTGTAAGATTTAATATTTATATCGAAGGATAGGTTTTCTATTATTTTGAATATTTTTTAAAGAAGCTATAGCTTATTTTTGTCTAAACTTAAGCTTTCTTCTAATTCCAACTACTTTATAATCCTCTTAAGTTTCTTTCAATAAGTAATATCTAAGTATCTTGTCTTATCGAAATTCGACCATTTAATTGGTAAATCACGTAGGTATACGATACGAGGGTGGATTGAAAAGTACTCGGCCTAACCAAGAAAATAAACACATACTAAATCAGTTATATTTTTATTTTTCTACATAATCACCATCAAGTTTAATACACTTTTGCCACCTCCCCTTCCAAGCATTTAGACCGTTGAAAAAAAATGATTCTTCCTTAGAGTCAAAATATGCGTCTACAGCTGCTTTGACCTCGTCGTTTGTCGAAAATCTTTGACCTCCCAAGTGCTTTTTTAGGTTAGGGAACAGAAAGAAGTCTGATGGTGCCAGATCAGGTGAATATGGCGGATGCGGTAACAGTTCAAAGCCACAGTTGTGAATTTCAGCCATTGACTGTACTGATGTGTGAACACGGGCGTTATCTTGATGAAACAGGACTTTTCTTCTGAGCATTCCTCGACGTTTTTCTTTTATTTTCTCTCGTAAACAACGTAGTAAGGTGCAGTAGTAATCAGAGTTTATAGTCTGACCCCTTTCAAGATAATCAATCACAATCACACCTTTCGAGTCCCAGAATACTGAAGCCATCACCTTATTTGCCGACAAAATCGACTTAGCCTTTTTTAGGGGGTGGTAAACCAGGTCTTCTCCACTGTTTTGATTGTTGTTTTGTTTCCGGTGTACAGTAATGAACCCATGTTTCGTCCATAGTAACAAAACGATTCAAAAAATCATCTGCATCGGCTTCAAATAACTCCAAACAGTCGCGTGAAATAGTCAATCGCGTCCTTTTTTGTTCAACTGAAAGCAGTCGCGGAACCCACCTCGCAGACACCTTGTGGAAACCCAACTCGTTGACAATGATGTTTTGAGTTCGTTCATAAGAGATGCCTATAATCTCGGCTATCTCTCTAATTTTTAATCTGCGGTCTCCCATTATTAAATCAAGTACTTTTTTAATATTTTCGTCAGTAGTTGACGTCGAAGGCCTTCCAGAGCGGGGTTCATCTTTCACACTCTCTCTACCACGCTTAAATTCTGCTATCCATTTTTTGACGGATGAATATGACAGAGCACAATTGCCTAATGTACTGACCATGTCATCATGGATGGCTTTTGATGATAGCCCCTTCTTATGGAGGTACTTAATGACGGCACGCTGCTCGACTTGCTCCATTCGCGGAAATTATGTCCGATTACTTTGTTAATAAATTTATAAAATCACAACTAATTATCGCACACGTTTCGAACTTCACACAATGAACTAGTCTGAACTGAACCAAATAATGTGGGTAGATTTGATTTTTAGAATTGAATGGATCTGTGTTAGGCCGAGTACTTTTCAATCCACCCTCGTATTATGATAAATTCGTTTTATATTACGTGCCTTAACGGCTACATATACTTACTTACATTTGATTTCTTTTTCTACACATCTATGTATAATATATATATATATATATATATATATATATATATATATATATATATATATATATAATATACCTTTAAAGGGACATAAGTTGGGTTCATCTACTTTTATAATAAATACCCAGAAAACATAATTGCAACAAATTTCGGAGTTCTACCTATAATAATTAAAAATAAATATTAAGAAAAACGCAATCCCCACTAGGATTTTCACCTGTACTGTGGAGATATTTTACAAACATAAATTTAGCACGGACAAAAATCCAGACACGAAATAATTATTTGTAGGCAATACAAATACTTCTCCCGTGCGGGTTACAAACCCGCGGCCCTTAACGCCGCAACATATTGGTAAGGCACTATGCCACGGATCCGCTTATAATAGTAATGAGAACGATAATTTAAAAAAACTTTAGCTATAGTATAGAAAACCGTTTAGTGATAATCTCATCGATATGTTGGCGATTGCATGACGATTCTTAATAAATGCATTTTAGATAATGTACCTATATCTTCTATTAAATGTCTTCGAATATATAAAAATGTATGTTTGTTTGTTTGTATTTTATGCGCTGGCAGCGCACCGTTCCGTTCATTAGATTGCGGTAAAACTTTGTCAACTTATTGCTTGCACTTACACGAAGGTTATAATAATACAATTAACTTACACTAGGCCGCGCGTATATCGTGCAGACAAAATTTATTTGAAAATAGTATATTATTCAGCTTCAATGAATGTATTATCATTTCTATAACTCTTCCACATTTAAAACGATACTTCCACAATTATTTCTTCTGCGGCAGCAACGCGTCGAGTACAAGTTATTAGCTAATAAAATGTATAAAGGTAATAAATCATTCCGCCGACTCACTGGCAAACCTGGGGTCGTTAGAGGCGGGATACCAGCTGGCGCCTCGCATATCTCCGTAATGAGGCAGATCTGTGGGGGCGCAGCCGTATCCCTGCACAGGAGCACCCCCGTACAGGGGCACTGCGTACGGGTTCGCCGCCATGCCGCAAGAAGCCGCAGGTCCAAGGGGCGAGTTGATGCTGCTGCCCGAAGAGTTGGACCTAGAGGAAAAACCAATAGTTTTAGTACAAAATACTTATAGGTACCAACATAGCCCTCATATTCGGGTACGTATTAAGTTTTATAGTTTTTTTTTTCGAAATTATATACATAAACTGCCTTATAAAAATACATTTGTTGAATACTTTAAAGAAAAAAAAAAGAAGGAAGAAAATAATTTCGTTTAACGTAGGTATGTATAAATTCTTAGGTACTTATATAAACTAAAAGATAAAACTAAATATAAATATGCAAGCACTGGCAGCTAGAATAAGTAAGAATACCTATATGCACCAAAAAGATGCGTGGTACAGCATAGAATATCGATTTTCAGGCAGATCGATGGGGCAAAAATCCATATGTAGGGGTCCATATCCTATGGGTCTATAAAAGTAAGCCCTATGATGTATGAATCTTTACGGTGAAGTACACATACATTATATTATGCTTACATGACTTGTTTTTTTTACCAGCACCATTTTTTTATATAATAAGGGTAACAAACGAGCACACAGTCCACCTGATGGTAAGTGGGTGCTATGTTGTGGCCTTTAGACATTTAAATACATCTATCTTCGATTAATAATCAAAATTCAGATGCGTTTTAGCCCCTGACTCGTTTTCAAAAAAAAGAGTCACCGGTTCTCTATACTCACCATACGAAACTGTAGTATTAATCTGGTATTTTACTCTGGTTTTGATATAGCCGGTAGCTCAGATGGTTAGCGCTCGCTTTCAATTTTACAGTACGCGAGCAAACCGGGTTCGATCCCCGCCGGCACCAATGAAATTGTTAATTGCAATTTTAAGTGCTGATTTACCACCTGCTTGGCGGTGAAGGAAATCATCGTAACAAAACCTGCATGTGTGAGAAATAAGAAAAATATTCGAAGACATGTGAAGTTCGCCAACTTGCATTGAGGCAGCGTGGCGAACACTTACTTGCCCTAATACCTACCTTCTCAGAAAAAATGAGTGTGTCCACCAGTCCAGTGGGTATGATCACGGAGGCTATCGTCTCACGTAAGTAGATTCAGAAAGTTATTTGTTAGTTATTGTGAAATGTTTGTCTTTCCTAAATCCAAAGGACATTGGCGAACTCCCAAACAAATTTTATGTGACTTTTTTCTTGCATCTATAAATACAAAGTATTTAAAATATAGAGTTTAAAATCCTGAAAATTTTTTTCTTCAGTCATACTACTGCAGGAAGTCAAGAATTAAACATATTCTAGTTTAAACAAAATACTCATCAGACTAGGCTGTATAGTATAAAACGCTTAATTGGCAAATCGTTACAACAACCAGTCAATATAATTTTCATATATTATGTTTATATAGGGTAATTACTAGCATCACAAACTAATAGAAACAGAAACTTTTTTATTCAATGTAGATTGTAGATTATAAACAATACTACTTATTGAAGTCACTTTTTTCATTTACCACTGGTTCGCAAAAAAAAATCTTTGCCCTGGGAAGAACCGGCAGTATCTAGCCTACAATCGTGTTTACAAATAAACACAAGAAAAATTAGAAATATCTTGGTAGTGATCACCCTCCCCAGGGGTTATTATCATCCATAAATTCCTTAATATTATAATAACCCTTTTTATACAAACTTAGTTTAATAAAATTTTTGAACTTTGCGTATTACAAATTTTATATATTTTCCGGGATTTTGTTGTAAAAGCGTATATATACACTATACATCGCCCCAAGAATGAATTACTGACTCGGTGGAGTAGAGTAACTGGTAGTACTAGTATAATAAGAGCTAGCATAGAGGGAATCCTTAAAGAACGCATTAGTATATATATATACAGAAGAGTTTTCTGAATAAAGTACTTACACGTCAAACTCGGCTGGACTATTGGACTGTCTTAACTGCCGAATCGTAACAACTACAACAACTAGTCAATTAAGTTTTGAATTGTGCATGTTGATTTTTTCCAGACTTCGATAGGCCATAAACTTGATTAGATAATACATAGTAATTTTTTTATTAATGTCTGTAATGGTGACTTAAGTAGACGCTTCATAATTCCATCATATATTATTTCGCCATTGTCCTTTGTCTATTTAAAAAAAGGTGTCAGCCTTTGGTTCATCAAGATATGGTTGTTCCAAAAAAGAAACACTTTTTTAAATTAGTTATCTTTTTTTACTCCATAAGCTGTCGTTGCCAGTGACACTAATCGTGAATGGGTTTGAGCAAAAATTGCCGCGTAAAACGCCCGTCCCGTTACGCATCTGTGGGTCGTGCGGCGCCAACCTGTCACTGTAAACAAAAGACGGCTTATCTGTCTAATCCCTATTTACACAATTTAATCCTCTGTCCTGCCCATCCCGTTAAACGTCCCAATGATACTGAATAGGGTTGGATATTAAATATCGATAAACTGACGCGAATGCCTGCTTAGTTGTTTTTTTAACTTATCTTGCTTCCGGATTTTTTCAATGACTGACATAAAGTAACTGTTACTGTTTATAATTTGCCTCAAAATCTGAATTTAGCTTTAGGTTATTCCAACATTTCAGAGGTACTTGATTAAAATAACCTATTAGATACGAGCACATATATTAAAATGGTTATAAAATGTGTAAAATTTTGAAAAAACTCTGGAGTAATACTTTTTGCCGAAACACGAAACAAATACCGAAATCGCCGAAATTACTTTTAATTCGAATTGCAATGATCATATAATCAATAAGTAATAACAATAACTAACAAATCCATATTAGCTGGAATAAATAAGATATAATTATTAATTAATAATATAGATGGGATTCAGAATGATGGGATGAGAAATAGTGCATTAAAAGAAAAGAGTGGTTAGCAAGATGATGTTGTAACCAGGATTAAAAAAGCAATGCCTCGGTGACTTGGACTCTTAGAAACGATGAACGAGGAAAATTGACAAAGGAAAATGTCGCAGACGGCAAGAGATGCCATAGACGAAAATATATCGACCATATTGACAATATATTGAGATGATTCTAATTAAACTGATATGAAAGAAGCAAGAGAGGTGTGTCAGGATCGTGGCAATGGAATACTTTATCTACAATCTACAGCTCTAGGTGACGGGCGTGGGAGTTGTTATTTTGTAATGTGTTAATTCTATCCCAATGATAATGCAACAATGTCACCACAGCTATCACCCTTCGATTGGACCCGACATGTTGCTCGTCATACGTAACTGAACGAAAAACGGGACTGAAAAGCGTCACTTAAAAACAATTTAAGACTGAATATTTCTAAAACCCTTAAATATCACGTACAAAGTCCCTAACATAACGTTTATCAAAAATAAAAAAAGCATTATTTGATTGACAATACAGGACGAAAATGCAGTTCGAGTCAGACTGAAATAAAGGACCGTGTCTTACAAAATAATGTATGCTGTACGTAAATTAAATTATGTATGTAAATTGTTAGTGACAGCAGACAGTGCACAGTAAGTTGCTAGTGATTTTGAGAACAGAACTAAAATAGTCATAAAAAAGGTAACTTTGTGTTGTTTTTACTATTTTGTAAATATTATCTTATTATGTATTTAAAACATTACAGTACTTAAAATGAGATTATTATCCTTCGATATCTTTGTTTTCAGATTTGAACTTCATTTCATCATCACCGTCATCGTTGCAGCCATTCACAAGTCCACCGCTGGACATAGGTCTCCCCCAAGTAATACCACAAATCACGGTCCTGAGCCACCTGCGTCCATCGACTACATAATAGAACTTGATTTACTATAGTAAAATTCCAATTCTACTCTGTGTAACTTAGCTTTGATCGCAGCATTAATCTTAATACTAAATCTATGTCATGTTTGTTTTTTATCGATAACCTAGCTACTTCATTTATCGATAGAAATATCCCTATTTCTGACAAAGCAATTTACACTCAACTTTAAGCCTTATATGTTGCCACGTAGAAATTAACACAATTTATTCCATCTGGGTGGTGAAACACCCCATTATGATGTTTGACTTGACAAATTGAGTTTTGACAGGGCGGGAAATTTACCGCGAACAATTTCAAGAAAGGTCGGAATAGGTCGCTTAAATTTGGTACCTACAATTTGATTAAATTAATGCTTGTTGTCTTTTAATTTACATCTTGTTTTGCTTGTCTAATTGTAATATCTGCAGTTTACATGTAACTGAATAGTTAAATATTTTTGTTAAAGTGACATTATTTGTTGAAGCTATTTGCCAAATTAAATCAGTAAAATGAAAAGCAAGTAACCGCCATTAATTAAAAGTGGGTATTAATTTTACGACAACATGATCCAAAATTGTGTTAGGTATGTTTTTTATTTGATTAAGGGCCCATTTTATAATCTGCAAATAAAAGTAAATAAAAAGTACAGCTATATCTAATAAAATATAACTTGTTTCAAAACTAATTATATTGTACCTGGATTTGTACGTGATAGAGCAATGCTGCAGTTACGTTATCGTTGTAGCACGAATGGGTTAGTATCGAGTATTTAAACCATTTCATTAGATTATCAAGCTCAAGGTCGCTCAGCAAGCTATGGAGAGGGCTATGCTCGGGGTTTCTATGCGTGATAAACTTAAAAATGAGGATATCCGCAATAGAACCAGAGTGATCGACATCACCCAACAGATTAGTAAACTAAAGTGGCAAGGGGCCAACTGTGGGTGAACTGTGCACTCGTTTGTCACTCTATCCTATAAAAAATATAGGTAACCAATATAACAAAAAGATATATTAACCCTTATCTACGTTTTTCTAATTAATAAACTTCGCCGCAATGTAATGTTACCTCTTTCCTAAGTTGCGCCGCCTTGGTGGCATCATTGACACAACTTTACTCTGAAGTCGTGAAAGTGTAATCTTACGCAGTAAAGTAGTACATATCTACCACTCACTAATAATTAACCACGGCTTTAGCTTCATTACGTTCCGTTTATTCTGTTTTTACTCACGATGGAACGGAGAAGGAGAATCTTTCACCCTAAACGCTGTTGACGTCTCCTAAATGTAAGAGAAATTCTAACTTCGTTTTATTGGAAAAAGTACTCAAGAATCGTATTTCTTGATTTCTGTTTTAAAAATCAAATGATTACAAACAATTTAATTATGGCAAATACTATGCCATAATTTCTTAAGTACATAAGCAATTTAACGTAAAATAGTGACTCAACCTGTTGGAGAGCAGACACGTCCCTATTCTAAAATATTATTTATGCAAACTTAATGCTTGTTCCTACATATTTATATTTCCGTGGACATCTTAAATTCTGTTTATCAACATGTAAATGAAGATTTGACTAAATGCGAGGCACACAACTCGCAGGTGTGAGTCCGTCACCACTCGTACGTATTGCGCAAACACTCACCGCGCACTTAAAAATGTTGTCAAACTAAAAAAAAAATCCACATTGCCATTTTTACTTCCGAAAATATTCCACAGGTATATTATTTTATCGTCATTAGAGTCTATCACAAGGTCATTGCTGAACATATTTACGCGGAGTTTTCTGCGTCGCACGACCAAACTATGGAGTTTACCGTCGCCAGCGGTTTTTCCACGACTTGGGGACCTTCAAGAAAAGAGCCTCCTATTTTCTAAAAGGCCGGAAACGTACTTGCAACTACCCTAATGTTGCAGATGTACATTGGCGACGGTGATCACTTATCATCAGGTAAACCTCATGCTCGTTTGCCTCCTCTTCCATAAAAAAAGCCTCCCCAATAGATTGTCTAAGCCACCGGCATCAATCTGCATGTTTCATCAGGTCATCACTTCATCCAGTAAGATATTATTTTACTTGAGTTAAGTTCGAGATTGTAAATATAAATCAAAAATTGGGTTGGCCCAAATACATTTCCTTGAGGCACGCCAAAATGAGTATTTTTTTGTTCATGGCATATTGCGCATCTTTCCATAGTGCACAGCAAGTGTTATTCATTTAATATTAATTTAAATTATTAAATTTAATCTGGAGGTAACCGTTTCATACTGCGTAGATCGGAACAAAAAATAACACGCGATAACAACCGTAAGACAAGTCCCATATCACTCACTCACTCACTGTAATCACTCTCACTCTCATCAACGCCCAGCCCAAACCCTTGGACCTAGAAAGTTTAAATTTTGCACAGAGGTGCCCTTAATTATGTAGACAAGGAATAAAGTAGGAATTTTTTTGAAATTCCCACGGGATGGATAGGGAACAAAAATAATTAAACTTTTCGCTTAAAGTTGCCTTATTTCCGTATAACTATCATCATATATCTTATTTCCGTATAAATATCATGACTGTTTATGCAAATTTGTAAAATTCTAAAGAGATTAACTTAACTGAACTTAAATAGTTTTTTCGCTTTAAAATGGCCGTATTCTCGTAACCATATTTTTTATAGGATAGGGTGACAAACTGACAAACGAGCATACAGTACACCTGATGGTAAGTGATTGCTGTGGCCCATAGACATCTACATCTATCCTCGATTACGAATTAAAACGCAGATGAGTTGTCACCCGTGACGAATAAGACGGAATGCCTCATTTCCAGTAAAAAGGGTCTCCGGTTCTCTACACTCACCATACGAAACACAGCAGCATTAAGCTGCTATTTCACGCTGGTATTCTGAGAGAGCGTGGTCCTGCCCCGGTCGAGCCGACCCATTCGTGCTACAACTATACTACTGATATAACTACAGCATGGCTCTACCACGTATAAAACTTTCAGTCATTCATTCAATGAACTGGTCCATACCACAGATTAAATAATAGTCACTATCCATATAATAAGCCTATGGGTACACGGGTAGACTGTGTCATTTAATAACACACACGGTACGGTTCCTAAAATAAGTATACTTAGTTAGGAAGGAACTAATTCATAATTTCAAATCCTTAAGCTGCGGGCGTTCGTTAATTAAAATTAAAATTAAAAGTAAAAAGAATTAAAAAGATTATTACCTACATCATGATATTGAAATAATTAAGTTGAATTTGATTCCTTGAAAAGATTTTCTTTCACCAAAAGGCGTATTGTTACAGTAAAATTTTGAACGTGTTAGTTTATTTTTGTTTTACTTTTTTGTATGTCACGAAAAAGCCGGTTATTCGAATTAATAAAATTAAATAAACACCCGTTAACCATATCGAAATTATTATACACAGTGACAGCATCCGGATCAAAAATCAATTAAAAGTGATTTGTGTATTGTAAAATATTACCAGGATTATTCTTAACCCAGGACCAACAAACCAGTAGACGAGTTAATCACTAATCCGGGTCACCTTCCTATCATAAGCCATGGATTTTTAGTCTAACGTAAGAATTTGTCAAATTTTTGAATTGCTGTAATTTTCCTATTATTTGATCCGAATTAAATCAAATTGTAGTCCGCATGAAACCCTGAATTAGTGTTATTTAGATATTCTTATTTAACACGTAATACTAGCAACACTCCTCCAAATGAGAACTGTATCAGGGGGCTAAACAACCAAGCGGTAGGCTGTAACAGTGGTATGCGCACCGCCGCGGAGGGTCCAGAGATATAAAAAGTAAAAAATTAAACTAACGGAAAAAATATTGTCAATGTAATATCAAGTATTCACTCGGTTTGACACCTTCCAAATTTACATGGCGTTAATGTTGTAAAAATAGTCTTAATAGTCACTTAAAAACAGCAAACCGTCTCAATACAACACACGCTTGAAGTTTGAAACTAAAACTAAACTTTAAAAAAAACGAATGTCAGTGCAATTTAGTCTGCCCTTACTACCAAATTATATAAAATACAGAATTGATTCCAATTAAACATTTAATAATGTTTTGATTTTGCAATTGAACATAGAATTGGTTTGGAGACAATAGATACGAACTTAGTATCGAAATATGCAAGGTGGAAATAGTTCACTATCTTAAAATAAGCACACAGACGTAGGTACCTCATTTTAATAATAGTAGAATCTAACTTTATGTACCTTAAAATGTAGAAATATGTAGAGGTTTGAAATTTTAAATAACAAAACCATTAAAACAACTTCCAAAGACGAATAGGTAACTACAAATTAAATTGAACTAACAAATTTAAATTTTAATGATTTTTAAGCTTTTGGTATTAATTTTTGGTACGATCTACGCAGAATGAACTTACTGTATTTTGTAGTTTTGCGGTGGCGTTCTTGGATTTGGACTTAATTTTATTAATTATAAGATCCCAAGCAGACGACAGCAGGTACCCCGCCGTTTTTTTTTATTGAAATTTGGTGTAATGCTTTTGCTTAATAGCACACGAAACATCGGAAATTAAAAATCCTAATTCAAGTTAAACACGGTAAAATTAGTATTTAATTCGAAAGAAGAAGTTGATAAAGCACTAGTAATATCTCTTTCTTCAAAAATCACTTATCTTCTTTATTTAAAATGAATAGTTATATTTTTAGAAAATCTAGTATGTAAGTGTATTGTAAGTTATAAGTGAATTCTGTATATATCTATATTCCGAATAAAGTGTAATTCTGAAAAAATTGTACCTATAGGGAAGAAAAATTACTAACTTGTAAAATACCCGTAAAGAAATGCTTCAAAAATTTTTAACAACAACCATTCAAAGTCAATACTTTTTTTTAATCATGATCATCATCATCATAGCCCATCACAAGTCCGCTGCTAAACATAGGCCTCCTGCAAGGAATGCCACAAAAGACGGTTCAGAGTCAACTCCATCCATCGACTTCATTTTATTAAATGTTAATTATTTTAACTCGTATTTTAATTTCGCAGTCAGTGTAAACAATTATTTAAAAAAAATTCTATGGAACTGTAATTCTACGTGGTCCAAATTGTTTAGGTCACATGATACTCACTACCTACTTGCTATCGATAAAGATCAGTATAAGAAAAAGTAGAGCCATGTAATAAAAAATAAATTATGATTTAAAAAGCCTACGGGATTGCAATAGTAGGCCTATTTGTCACCATTTGACCCTGTTTATAACATTTACTATTGATCACTATTTTGAACTCACGGTATTTTATTCAGTTTCAAGTTTTTCGTAATTTTACAATAATGATTTTAATAAACAATCGTTTTATTTTGAAATTTAATAGAAAATGTTTTAAGGGTAGCCAAATAAACTTCTTAAATAAGTTTGTACTTTCTAACTTTCTATATGTACATATATAGATCATCACTTGTTCTCTTGATTAACCGTAAGTAATTCAATTTTTCATACATACATATGCATATACGCCTCAAGTGTCATATTGAAGCGCGGGCGCTCGGTGTCTCTCAAGGGTACACTATAGGTCCATGGTTAATAATTTTATTTACTGTAGTCATCGAAAGGTATCTAACTTAAAATTGGCAAAACGATGCTAATCGATTGTTACGCGTAAGTCCTCAAGTGATAAAATATGGTTTAAAGCACGTCGTTGACCCCACATTCACATCGCATCACTTGACCGCCGATCACAACATACCTGCACAAACAAACGTCACCGAACTATATCCTTCGACTACGAGCGTCGGTCGAGTACTCTCGAGACCTTCGGGCCACTCGAAAAATCAGCGGGTGGAGGTTCCCCCCCTCCCAATCGATCCACGCACCTGTACGGCGACGGCGGGTTGTTCGCGAGCTCCAACTTGCGGTATTCCTCGATAGGGGATAAGATGTCGGTGACAGAAAACGGCGTAGAGTGCTGGAGCTGCAGCTGGGAGAGGTTCTGCTGCAGCAGGGCCGATTTTGGCGATAGGCTCATCGCCAGCTCGGCAGCGCTAAGCTCCGGCAGCGCCTCCGCCGGACACGGCGAGTAGCCGCCGCCCTCCGCGGACATCCGACCGTTCGACACTCGACGCCACTCGACGGCTCAAGCTCTAGTGGCTCTCGGGGCGAGAGTGGCGCCAGAAGCCCCCGGCGCGGGTTACAGCCACTCGACAGGCTCCGCCCGCGGCTCTGAACGCGATCCAATAGCGAGCTTGTTGCTTCGCGATTGGCGGAGCCCCTTGTCTATGGGCGGCGTTCAGGGGGCGCTCCGGATCGCAGTCGGTTGGCTGCAGTGCCGCAGTATACCGTCTCGTATGGTGGGGGGCAGTGCTATTCAGTTCAGTGTTGTGGTGGTGATCACTAATTATACACATATCGTTGCGATATTACTAGTGAAATGTTGACGTTTCATTGATTGTATATTGCATTACGTTAATTAGAATGTTGTACTGCAACAAACTTGTTACAACTCTTATTTAATAATACCTATCTGTAAATCAAAATGTGCTATTATCTATTTAGCAATAAATTTAGTTATAGATATTTTTAACCTCTTAGTGTTGTGTTTATAAAATTACTCGTTAGATACCTATATTAAAAAAATAATATCTACTATTAATTTCATGCGCTAAAATATATGTCATTTTGGGAAATCCAACAGGGCAACAACATCTTTCCCGTTACATTTGAAACAACAAACTGAAGTTGCCAACCCGTGTGCCAAGCTTAGCTCGGTACCTTGGCAAATATCCCTCTATATCTGAGAGTAGTGATCTATGGGAGAGGCCTATGTTTATAGGCAGATAATAGGTACCTATAATTTTATTAAAGAGTTAGGAATATAAAAAATACATACATACAATATATATATATATATATATAATAGTAATAAATAATAATAGTAAATTTAAAAAGTAAAATTACCTAGGTACATCCTATATACGTCCCACCGCTGGGCACAGGCCTCCCCTCATTTCTGAGAGGGTTTTAGGGTGTCCGCCGCGCAGCCCCTATGTGTGTAATAATAGTAATCGAAATAATTAATGAAATAAGAAGTAGGTAATTATTATCTATAGTAAAAGACTATTCTTTATAAATATTCCGAAATGATTTTATTTAAAGGGTGCAACGCTCGAAAAACAGGCATCTATTGTAAAAATATTTTCATAAAACTTAAGTAGTACCTAGTATTGTATTCAACAGTGAAACTGGTGTTACAAATCCAAATATAAAGGAAGTTAAATTCAACAAGGAATTGCTTAGTCCTTCTTAGATCTAAGTACCTATATTTAAATAATATTAATGATATAAATTGTAATATGCAGTAGCGCAGTGGCTAAGAATTTATTTGCGAGTTCGAATCCATTGTGTAATGTACAGACAACCCTTTATTGTAAACAAAGGTAATCAACCTTGGTTGTATTGGTGTTAATATTAGTTACTAGTTTTTAACATGAGAAAGCTTACTTGCTTGCTTACGAGCTACCCAACACATAACCCTGTTTAGACTTTAGATTATAAAAGTTAAGAATTAAACAAGTGGTAAAATTTTGTGTATGGAAAAAACTTTGTAACACCGACTTCATTAAAAATATAATGAGAACATCATTTATGTATTCGAAGTCAATTAAATACGCATTATTAAGGATAACCCAAAAACTAGTGGTCAGATCTTGATCAAATTTATATTGGACCACACGAGAAGCACCAGCTTTCAAATAAAAAAAGAATCATCAAAAACGGTTTACTCAGAAAAAGTTCTGAGGCAACACACATAAAAAACATACAGTCGAATTGAATACCTCCTACTCTTTGAAGTCGGTTAACAAGTAATAAAATGAAAAGTCTTGATAGTGTTAAAAGTATTAACTACGAGTATAAATTACTTTGAAATGATATATTGAATTTTTACGTGGTAAAGCTACGCTGCTGCTATAATATGGTTGAACCACGAAAGATCGGCTCGACTGAGGAAGGACCACGCTCTCACAAAATACCAGCGAGAAATAGCAGCTTATTGCAGCTTAACGCAGTGAAATCCAGGGGTTTCGCATGATGAGTGTGACCGAACCGGAGACCCTTTTTGGGTGACAACGTATCTGTATTTTGATTCTTAATCGAGGATAAATGTCTATGGGCCACAGCTTCCACTTACCATCAGGTGGAAAAAATTGATATTTTTTATCATTTCATAAAAGTATGAGAATTTTTAAATGTAGTATATAATTTTCTTGATAGATATCTATACCAGATGAAACTGGATCGTCACAACTAGCCGACCTGAGGATACCAGCATACTCTGCAACGTGAAAATTAAATCTTATTTTAAGTTAGAAGAAGCCTATTCCGTACTAATATGGGACTGTACTTGCTTCTGACAATAATAATCAATAACACTATATTCTAGGTTGCGATACCTATAGAGAAATTTAAGGGCTTACCTTTCTTTGTCTGTGTACAACTTTTACGTGTTTTGCATTTGTATTATATTATTTACCTTCGGTCGATATTGAAGATGTCTTGTATTTTTATATGGTCGACCTAAAGAAGAAAATAGTTATCGAGTGGCAGCATCATACCGGTAGGCGAAGTTTAGGGCTGCCCTCCACTAGATGGACTGACGACCTGGTACTCGTAAGATACGCAGAAGTAAGGATGCAAATGGCTCAGGTTTGTAGCATTTCTTGGGGAAATTCTTTGATGATGATGATGATCTAAAGGAAGCTACGATAATTTTTAAGAGTTATGGATTCATTTAATACCCCATAAAGTAATAAAATTGTTGATTACATACTAGATTAAATCCGGCCATCGATTTACAGCCTATGAAAGTCCACTGTTGAACATAGGCCTTCCCCATAGATTGGTTCAATATATCGCCAATTTGGTCGATAAACTTTCTAAGGTCCTTTGCCGACTCTACCTTTCCTCTACGTGTACTTCTGCAACATAAATAGCTTTGTCACTTTGCTTTTAAGAGAGGCAAAACTTTTATATGCCAATTGAAAAATCAGCTTTAAGTGAAGTCTGTAAAAAGGTTATGGGAAAAAGTTCACAGCGAACTCTACTACGTCTATAACAGATGGTTATTCACATCATTTAAAAAAAAATTGACGATTATTTTCTTCACCGCCGAGCATGTCATTAATGTGAATGTTGTTTTTAATAAAAAATTTTTTTTTTTTTTTTTTTTTGGGTTTTTTTTTTTTTTTTTAAAAATATTTTGGTGGTCCGGCGGTGTGGCTTAACTTAGATCTAAGACTGAAGCCATTAACGTGGTAGAGTTACGCTGCAACTATATTATAGTTGCAGCGTGTACGGGTCGGCTCAACTTGGTAAGGACCACGATTTCACAGAATACAAGGCTAAAATAGCAGTTTAATGCTCCTGTGTTTCCTATAGTGAATGCAGAGAACCGGAGACCCTCCTTACTGGAAATGATGCATTCCGTTTTAGGCCTCACGGGTGACAACGCATCTGTATTTTGAATTTTTATCGAGGATAGAAAAGTAGATTTGTGTGGACTACGGCATTAACTTACCATCAGGTGAACTGTGTGCTTGTTTGTCACCTTTGTTCTATAAAAAGGATCCGACTCAGCGACTCTCTCGCTCAATGAAATTTAAGAGACTGCGTGGCATCGTTATCAGTTATCGTTTCATGCTGAACGTAGGCCTCCTCACGGAATGTCACTAAACATGACCCTGAGTGACCTGCATCCATCACCTTCCTGTATCTTTGACTAGATAGTAGGAGATCGCCCCATAATTCACTTACCAGTACGAGGCTGCATCTCAAAAACTTTTTATTTCTCATCGGTTGCCGGTTCTAGGGTAAAAATAACAAAAAGTAAATAAAGTGTACCTATATTGATTTGTATTGAGCTTAAAGTTTTCAAGGGATTACGTTACATAGTTTAGTGATAAGACATCATAAAAAATAAGCGCTTTTTTAAGTACCAATTTCATTAGCCAAACTGATATATCGACTAAATGGCGTGTGGATTGTTCATATTATTTTACAAAAATAATCTGTGATCTATTCCGGATGAGTAGGAGAAATGGCCATATGTACTATATATGGCCATCTCTCCTAAATATCTGCGGGTATATGGCCTAGCTAATAGCAATTCGAAAAAAAAGTGAGAAATATACAATTTGTTTAACAGATTTAAATAAAAGTTTCTAAGTATGAACGAAAAATTGTAACATTTGCCATAAAGAAAAACAAAATTAAACATTTCTAAAACCCCCGCTAGTTAGCTTTATTTTACTATAGTAGGTTAATAAGGCCTACTACTTTAACGAACTCAAATAATCGAACTATACGTAATATATGTGATTAATAATCACATGAATGCATTAATTAAGACTTAAAGTTTTAATTTTACTCGCCTACCCGCCCTTAAAGTCATTAGTATAATAATGTACAAACCGACAAACAAACGCACTCCTCGTGATTATCATCCGTGCGTCGATTGTGTTTCGAGTTGAGATGAGTGTTGAGTCGAAAGTTGGGTTAATATTGTTGGGTTGAGTGTCCTCCCAACCTAATTTTTGTCACAACGGCCACTCTCCGCGGAAAGTAACCTATCTGCACAGTACAGAATTATAGTATCCGAATGTATGCCCAAGCACAGGTGCACTCTCAATTCCCTCACAATCATCAAATCGTAACCGACAGGGTTCTAGAGAGCTTAAGGGGATAATATAACCTAATTAATAGCTTAGCAAGATTCTCCGTTATGCCGAAAGTATTGCAGCATTAATTTTGAAATAAATATATGGTAAAGTTGAGGATTAATGTTAAGGTTTATGTTAGACGAAAACACGATTCCGTAAAATTTTCTCGATAGAAAAAAAATCCAAAGTTACCTCCAAACTGAACAATAAACCGCTGTTATTCATAAAATACTTTAAATAAGATCATGAAACTTTGCATACTAACCGAACTAACCATAAAGCAGTGCTTATGTTATTTACTTTTTTTTAAATATCATTATTTTCACTGTAAAAAAGAAATTACCTAAACTATCGGCGCGCAAGCTTGGTTCCTGCGGAGCGACACAAT